CCGCTCCTGGCGCTCCCAGGGCCTTCCCACCAGACTCACCGGCTTTGTCGCTGGCAAAGTCCCCCAGGCTCAGGCGCTGCAGCGGGAAGTCCACACCTACGGAGCTTTTCTTGATGGAGCCTCGGGAGGCGGAAAACCGATTCAGATCTAAGCCCTGGTTAAGGAGCAGTTAGAGGGGGCGGGGGCGAGAGGGGCCTCCGAGGGGACTGAGATCTTGAATGCTGTCCACTCCCCTCCCCCAAGGAATACCGGGAGCATGGCAGGGCAAGGTGGTTTCCTAAGGGAAATTCAATTGCCAATTATCCAGCCTCTGCAAACATGGGGAATGAGAAAGAGAATGGATGGAAGAAATAGAATCTGAAGATTAGGATACGGAGTACGAGGATTCGGGGGAATCTTTGTACTGTCAACTTTTTGGTACTTCGTGTTTTCTGCTGACATCGGTCACACACCTGAATATCAAATAATGTTAGATTACTGTGCTCCTCACTCGAATGGCTTTTCCGACACCCTGGCCACATACAATTTACTACTCCCCATTAATTCTGTACGCCCTGGGCCTCCTTTGCCCCAAGAGTACTAGGACTTACCTGAGACCAACAGAAACCCAGACATACAAATGTTATTCCCCATAGTAAGGCATCATGCAACCCCTTTAACCCATACGGAGCCCCCCAATAGTCCCCAGTGCTACTACATCCCGTTTGAACCCCACATACTGGGGCATTTTCCGACTCCAGCTCTTCTTCCTTGGTGAACAGGCTGAAGCAGTCCCGCAGAGACACTTTGCCCCCAGCAAATCCTTTCTGGAGGGAAAGGGGAATGAAGGTCAGCATGTTCAGCATTTCCTTTTCCAACTCTTCATCAATCCAGGCTTCATGTCTCCTCCAGAGACCCAAAGGGTTCCTTCCCACACTCTGGGGGCAGCTAGGTTGGGTCATCAAACCCATGTCCCATCCACCCTTGGAATCCTCTGGAATCCCACCTTAGGGATGGGCAGGGACAGGTCACAAAAAACCTCGAAGGTCGTGGAGCGATACCCACAGGCCTGGCACCTGAGACAACTTTTCAACTGGCCCACAAACAGGTCTAGACAGAAGTAGAGGGCAGGAGAGTCATTGTGAGAGGCTGAGACGCTTGCTAGGATTCCTCTCTTCCCACCCCTTTGCCTGACCTTGATTCCCCATCACCAACATTCCTAAAAGCCCCGCACACCTTTTCCATATTTTTATCACCCAGCTGTTCCCACATCCCTTGATAGCATCATCTTCTTTCTCCCAAGCCTGCACTCCCCCCCGAAGGTCGTGTCCGCCCCCCCCCCGCGCCTCGCTGATTTATTTCCCTGTTGCTGTGCCCTGTTCCATACCCACAATCTTGCTGTCCTCTCGCTCCAGGTAACGCTTCCACATTAGGTTGGCCCGGTCATTGTCACTACCACAGAAGGGAAATGGGGAGCACCCCTGAGACAGCAGGAAAAGTGGGCACCCAGACACCACTGAAATGATCCAGAGCCCTGTACCCCACCCATACCTCAGCTCCTTCTCTAAATTTTTTTAAAATATTTTTTTATTGTTTAAAGTATTACACATAGTAGTATATCTCCTTTTTTCCCCCCATTGACCTTCTCCCATACCCCCCAACACATGCCTTTACCTCCCCCAGTGTCTTGTGTCCATTGGTTGTGCTTATATGCATGCATATAAGTCCTTCGGTTGATCCCTTCTCTAAATTTCAAGGAAGAGGAGTAAGGCTTCAGAGGACTTTCTGGGGAAAGAAGGGATTAGACAAGGAAGAACATGTTGTCTTCCTCCACCGGCTTCAGGCCCTTTATGTGCCTTGCTGTCAATTAACTCTCCCTCCTCCTTCAACACGGGGACATCCCAGCGCTGCCTCTGCCTCCATCTGCTCCAGCCTCCCGCTCTGCACGGCTTCCAACCCATGTCCAAGCGTGCACTTCCCTGGACCTACTCCTGTCCTGGCTAGCTGCTCTGTGAAGGAAGATGCTATCAGTAAACTACTGTGGAGAAAAGGGCGTGGGAGAACCTTACCTTAAGTCAGGCTCTTCTAGCAGAGCCCCTCCACGGTGGGGTGGAGAGGGAGCTGGGCTACTGGCCAGGATTGGGGGAGCCCGGCGGCCTCGTCGGTTGATTTCAAGGTGTAGCCGCTCCATGAGGAGCTTCAGGAACTCCTGGGCATCCTGCTGGCTACAGCCAAAGAGTATGGGCAACTGATCCCCTAGCCCACAGACACTGTCCCCTGCCAGACACTGGTCCCCACCTCCTGGATTAAGAACATCTCAAGGCTCAGAATATTGCTGCCAGGACCCCTGCTTGGTCCTATCCCCAGACATGGCCAGAGGGAAATCCCGTACCCTCCAGCTCTCCCACCTGTATCCAGAGAAGGAGGGCACGTATTTCTGGAAGACAGCTCGGAACCGAGTAGGATTTACAGCTTCACAAGAGTCAGGGTGCCACAGGGCACCAATCACATCTGCAAAGGCTATTGGGGTGGGAGTGGGGAAGGGAAACACAGGTTAGTCCTGGAAGAGGCAAGAGGCGGCCGGAAGCGGAAACAGACTTTACACAGTGGCACCAGGATAAAGGTACAACTGCCAGACTGGAGGCTGGGGCTGCCGGCATTGGCAGGTGGACCTGCAAGGGGTTGGGGAGAAGAGGATTTGAAAGGCAGGGGGGACAGGAGTTGTTGCCCCACCTTCAGTGAGCTCTTGGGCTCGGCCCCCTCCAGGCACCTCTTGCCGGAAGTCCCTTCGCAGGCAGAAGTCCCGGAGAGGCCGAGTGCTGCTCAAACACTGCAGCACAGCATTCAGGAAGCACTAGGGAGCAGCAGAGACACTGCCGTTACCTCTCCAGACCAGGCCCAGGGAGACAGAGGAGTGGCAGTGCCCCCTCCCCAAGCCAGCCAAGTTCCCGCCCAGCACCGCTCCCCATTCCTGTTAGAAAGGAGGGACAGGAGAATGGCTCTCACCGTGTTCCCCAGATTTCGGAGGCCAACATGACCAGAGCCCAGGAGCAGTGTGTGATGAGCCTGGAAGGTCAGAGCGCCGTCAGCGGTCCCCATACAGCCTGCGTGACCCTTTAACCTTCCAACAGCATGCTGCCCCAATACTTCACCCCAAACTCTACCCTCTTTCCCTCACTGAGTATTGGGGTCTCCCTACCTCACTGGACATGAGCAGTAAGCCATCACAGTTGAGTGCACCACAGACTCAGCCATGCCAGTCCCACCTGTTCTCCACTTGTTCCTCTGCCCAGCGAGCCGGCAAAACAGCTCCCAGGGCAACTGACCAAGCACTGGCATGGTTGCCCAGCTGCTCCCCACCCCCACCTTGTTGTGTCCAAGGCCCCCTCCTGCCCCCGTGGCCCTTTCCTGCTCCCTCTCCTGATGGCTCCAAATGCAATCAACCTAGCTCACTTGCTCAAGAAATGGGCAACCACACTAGCTCAGATTTTCTGAGCCTGCCCCTCCTCAGCTCCAGAGGTTAATTAGGCCGAGGCCAGTGATGGCGAACCTATGACATGCGTGTCAGAGGTGACACGCGAACTCATTTTTTTGGTTGATTTTTCTTTGTTAAATGGCATTTAAATATATAAAATAAATATCAAAAATATAAGTCTTTGTTTTACTATGGTTGCAAAGATCAAAAAATTTCTATATGTGACACGGCACCAGAGTTAAGTTAGGGTTTTTCAAAATGCTGACACGCCGAGGTCAAAAGGTTCGCCATCACTGGCCTAGGCAGTGTCCTAGGAGAGAAGGCAAGGGAGAGTAAGGGCCTGGGGGACCCAAAGGAGAATCCCAAATGGCTGGGTTAAACCCTGGGGACTGAAGTGGTGCACCATGCGGGGGAGTGACAGACAACCCTGAACGGATAGGGAGATTAGAGTCCAAATGCTGCAGTGAGGGGCTAAGAAAGGAACTGGGATGGGGGGGAGGGGGGGGAAAGCCATATGACGGCAAGAAAGCTGGAGGAACATGGGAATGGAAGGTCACGTGTGCTGACAAGTCCTCACCATCTTGTCATCGGAGTAGAAAGGCTTGGAGGGCCGGGCAGATATCACGCGGAAAGTGCCATGGGAAGTAGGGGGCTCTGTCCGTATACTGAGCAAGGTGGGGGGCCCAGGAAAGCCTCCTAGGCGGCGGAGAGAGGTGCTACGTCTCAAAGTGGGTGGCTCAGGCCGGAGCGCCAAGCGGCTCAGTGCAGCCCCTAGCTCTCCAGCACCTCGATGCCCTCCCAAGGCAATCCCTGTTGGACGCAAGTCCCCACTGCTCACAGACTTGGACCTGGCTAGGTTGGTCCTGGTTGGGAGAGGCAGAGCCACAGCTGGGGGTGGTGAGCCAGGCAGGGGAACTCCATGATCTGCCCGAAGGGGGCCTCTGGAACGAGGGCCTGAGGTCCGTGTTTGTCCCAGCTCCAGTTTCTTGAGCCGTTCCTCAGGTGGACCTGGCCGGGGAGGCAGAGGCCGTAACATGGGGTTTGGCCCAGGGGCTGGGTTTCGACGCTCCTTACTGCGAGCCCGGGGGGCAAATGGTAGTTTGGATCCCACTCGGGGCTGGACATTGACAGGTGGCTCTCGGGTCCGGCCCAGGCGGTGCTCAGAGGCCTGGGGCATTGTGGTCACCACAGGCAGGACCTGGGAGAAGAGAGGGTCAGCATATGAATATGGACAGAGGGGGAAGCTAAGCTACCATACTAGCTTCTATGTGTACTGCGGGCAGGAACCGAGTTGTCATATCAGACATTGTATCTCAGTACCTAGCTCAATGTTTGACACAAAGTAAATACTTAGCACACTGAACCTCAGTTCTTGAACTTAATTCATTCTGGAAAGCTGTTGGAGAAGTGATTTGTTAGAAAACTGAATCATTTGTTCCCATCAGAAAGAATGTAAATTGAATTAATCTGTTCCAAACCCCCAAATGATTCCATTTTAACCTTTCTTACTAGTATATACAGTACATGTCTAATCTATAAATAAGCACTTCTTTTCTTAAATTTATTGAAACACCCTCTATTAGCCTTAAGCTGATTTTCCATCTATCACTGCCTCTAAAGTGCTACCACTGGCTAACTGCTTTTCCTTTATACAAACAAATTTTTCTACCTATTCAACTGCCTGTGATTGTTATCTTATGAGCGCGTTCACACCCTTAGCAACATTAGCACTCTGTTTGAAAAATGTGCTAATCACAAAAGCATTCTTTTCTTTGTTGCCGGAGAGATGCTTTTTGTCAGGTAGAGGTCTCAGCATGAAAGGGTTGTCAGGTCCAAAACTGAAGTTTTGGTCGACAACCGAGACTTTTTTTCTGTGAACAACTTGGTTGAGAATCGAACTGCTGGAGAAGTGCGGTGTGACTGTATCACTGAGGATCAATGAATGGGTGATGGCAGCCCAGGCCTGACTCCTGCCTCAGCACCTTCCTGCGGAAACAGCGGTGCTGAGAGGCCTAGGACAGCCGCGATCTGGATCATCGGGTGGCGACAGCCTCGCACCCGGGACGTCAAGCGGGCGCTACCAGAGCCCCTCGGGCGCCCTGGTCACTGGGGGCGGGTGCCAAGACAACAGCCCAGGAGACAGCACCCCATCCGCACCCCCTGCCCCTCCCAGGAAATGGGTGGCTTGCGACTCCCTCCCTCCCGCACCCTCGAGCTCCTACGCGGTGTGGGGCTCAGGGGCCCTGCGGAAG